GCTTCCCGCGACTTGGTGTGGAATCCGAATTTCGCTCGGGTAGTCTTCTTGCCCGGGACTCTACTTTTGTCTCGTACGGAGCTTTTTCTACTTGAGGCAGTTCTTTTGGTTCGAGCCTGAGTCCGCCGTGATCTTCTCGCTGGTTCTAACTGATTGTCTTCTTAAGAAATTATCTCATCTTGATCTCTCGGCATCCTCCGTTTTCTCTGTAAAACAGGAGAGACACTAAAAGGGTAAGTAAGTAGTAGATGCAGGCAGCAAGTTTAGAAGAGCGATACGACCTGTGTACCTCCGCTATTAGGCGTAGTCCGGAGTCTCCTTGGTTCTCTTCAGCGATCCTCTTCCCTGCTGGTAATCGGATGAAACAGCTTCAATACAATCAATGCACACAGCTATTGATCCTGGCAATAATTCTCGAAAAATAATAAAAAAAAAAATAGAGAAGAAAAATAAATTTAATGGCGCATGAATGGTAGCACCCATATGCTTGTTACTCGCCCTCACGAACTGGGAGGACCCAGAATCCACTTGGCTAATCCACGACACAGTGACGAATGAAAAACGTCACGTCACAACTCTCTCTTCCGGAAAGGATCAAAGAGGTATCACAAGCGTCATCAGCCGCTTTTCCCCAACAATTTATTCTCAAAGTCGGAGTTTATTCTTAGTAGATCAACTTCCTCGCGAGTTTCAGCAAAAGAGAGGACACAATATGTCCTACCCGGCCTCTTCTTCTTCCTCAAATGTTGCCAAATTCGGTCCTAAGAACGAAATGAGACTAAAAAAATGAAAAATGAAACAACAGCAAAGTACACAAAAAAGTTTTCTAGAACAGTCTACACTCGAGACCGACCAAGTCTCTTCCCCCCTTCCTCCAACAAAATATATATAATATAATACTCGTTACTTAAAATTTTTGATGGGCTCGGCCACCCTTTATATCACTAGCCCCCACTTAACTCTCGCCATCTTTATCGCTCTAGTGACGCACATAGAACAACGGTAACAACTGACTGTCCTCCCTTCCCCCTCCCCCTCCAACAAGTTTACCTAGTTTTCCGGCGAGCCCGAAACAAGGAATAGCAAAGAGAGAATGGGATACTATTAAGTTCACAAATCTAAATTAAGATCTTCTTTTATTGGGGTCCCATACATCCTTAGTAGCGAAAATCCGAGATATAACTCCTTTCTTTTGGAGAATTTTCACTAGATTCACGCCTGGGATTTTTCGATAGCTCCTTTAAGTCCTAGTTAAGAGTTCGGATTTAAGAAGACTTTCATTAGGGACATAATAAGCTTTGAGGTCCTTAATGTAAACTTTTTCTACGGGTGCATCATCAAGATTAGCAAGCATATGACCGGTAACTTCACATCACAATATATTACAAAAATATTCTCCACAATAACGTCTCCGTCGAGTATGACATATCTTTTGTTGTCGTATGGACTCAGAGCGATTTTCGATTCGAATATCGTGTATACCTCGAGTAATTCAGATCGTATACACGATTGACGGCGAGTCATTTCGATCTCTTCGTTCAAACACCACATGTAATCGTACGTTATCGTTCGCGCTACGATGTTATTCAATGAATCTTAATTTTACACCATTTTTCCAAAAATTTTTTTCATTTTTGTCTTTAGTGCTATCGACATGTTTAGTGAATGAAATATATTTTTCCTTCGTTATCGGTAGTACATCTATATGTCCATCCGTATGCAGTAGCAATTTCCTTAATTATAAAATGGGCTTCAGCCCGATAAATTATAAAATACGATCGGAATATAGAATGAATTTTTATAATTTAAGTTACAATTTGAATGCGCTGGACCGCGGTATCTACCAGTGGGATGACAATGATCGCGGACTCCTCGTCCGGCGCGAATGGTTTCTCGCAGATGTGACAACGCGTCGCGCTATAGTATGTTTCCCATTGCTATTTAGACAACGTTTCCATGGGCACGTTGATGGATACGATATTTTTCACGCGATGTGCCAAATCGTTGAGTTGTTGCGCGAAACGTTATACAGCCTTCATCGCGACGGAAGTAATACGACGATAATGTGTCGTCGTACGCGCATCGTACGTAATAGTCTATGCTACGCTTCATACGCGTTCACCGCTGATACGCGTACGACGATGTGTCTTTCTAGTCGGATTCTGTCTTACGTGGGACGCACTCCAGGTCGGCGTAGACGATGAACGGCACTCATTTTCGGTTGCTGTAGTTGTCAAATTCGAGCCACTTGTCGTCCTCACTCGACAGTCGGATGGCAGTCGTTGATCTTCTGGCAGTCCACTTCGTGCAATTGCAATTTTTCGTACAAACTGAAATAATGGAGACATCTGTAAATAATAGAGAAATCATTTTTCACTGTTTCTTTTTTACTGTTTTTTTTTTAATATTGTTTTTTATTTGTTTTTGTTATTATACTTACCGATCGCAGAAAAATTTCTTATTCTTTTTCCTAATAATTTGCGATCTCACGAGATGTGACAGGTTCTTGATCCACGCAAAGTGGTCAAGATTGTGATTGTGCGAATCTTGTAGAGGAGATTGATGTGTCTCCCTTTCTTGTTATCGATGAGCCGCAGAGGAAGGAGTTATTCTCGATGCCGTACACATTGATCGACACCGCATTCGAATTTAGAAATGTCTTTTAAAGTCATTGGAAACTCAATGTTTGTGAGATTCAATACTGTCGTATAATGCGGATAGGACGATTCCCACTCCGTATACTTTTCAGTTGGGTACAGAGCGACGACTACCGACCATGCGAAGCACGCATTGTCCGTTGTACAAACACTGATTACCTCTTACTCGTTTCGTCATTATTTCTCTTTTAATGTGTGCAGAGTGGGCACATGCTGCACGAGAATATACTGTACAAAGGTTCTCTGCAATTCGTGCACAACTTGCCGTCTAGCCTACCGAAAGAATCAGTCTCATGCTCCCTGACGTGATACATTCCTACATCGTTAATGTCAGTTATATGAATCATGCATACATACAGTTAAAGCACCACCCGTTGTACCATATAATAATTGTGAACACACAGTGCTTAGTACGAGCGTTCAACGTACGGATTTCCAAAGGCTGCATAAATTTTTCTACGGGATCGATTTCATACTCGCTCATATCACTAGCATATCGTCGGATTATCGTCGGATAGCATTTCGTCGTCAGACTCTTGGTCCATTATATTCTAAAAGTCTACTTCCATTTTTTCAAACACTTCGAACACTTCGTCTCTGATTCGCGAATTGTTCCGGATTCACGTTTCTAATATACTCGGCTACGTTAGTTATGTTCTCAACGTTTCTGATATTCTCGACTTCTACATCGTCCACTATGTTCTCAAATTCTATTTCCATTGCTTCAAATAACGTCTGCATTCACACCATCCATGTCCTCAACGTCACGATTAACCATACTTTTCGCATTATACTTATTGCGATTCGGTAATCTTTAAAGGCACCTCCAACTGAGGTGCCGCGCGCTTATGATCCCATTATATATTCCATTTGTGACTTCTTTGTCCATTTATCTACCATTCCTATTGAGTCGCAGTAGTGACGATGTGTCACCGATCTCTTCTTAGAAAAAAAATATCATTATCAGTGCTTCTCTCTTAACACATTGCGACATGTCACCGACCTCATGGTTCTTCCTAGATAAATATCTTCATCCATGCTTTTGATCTTGAAAGAAAGAATTGAGAACACATCAATGATGTTCACCTAGACAAAACATCTTGTTCGCGTTATATAGGATCTTTCAATAGGGACGCTCGAAATTTGTTAGATCATAGTAGCCATGTTGTTAAAGTGACATCTGTCAAATTTGTTGTGAATTGTTTAGTAATGTATGGCAAATCACCATGGAAGATCATAGTGTTGAGCAATGTGTGCAAATCATAAAATTTTATTATCAAAATCAGTGCTCCGTTCGAGAAACATTCCGCGCATTACGTGATTTTTATCCTCGCCACAACCGTCCTGCCAAGTCGACTATACGACGTTTGGTGGCCAAATTCGAATCAATCGGTTCAATAAATAATCAGCCAACACCAGTATATCACCGAAACGCAAGGTCTGCTGAAAACATCGCTGCTATGCATAACAGTGTACGGGAAAACCCGAAGCAGTCAATTTCTCGTCGTTCACAAGAACTTGGCCTTTCTCTGACTTCAACTTGGCAAATTTTGCGTCGGGGGTCTTGGGTCTGCACTCCTATAAAATTCAACTGATCCAGGAACTTAAGGTAAACGACCATAGACAACGCCATGGGTTCGCTGATTAGATTCTGGAGCAGTTGGAAGTTAACCCAAATTTCGCCAAACAAATCATCTTTAGCGATGAGGCCCATTTTTGGATGAATGGATACGTGAACAAGTAAAATTGTCGAATTTGGGACGATACCAATCCACACGAGATACACCAGCTCCAAATGCATCCCGAGAAAGTCACTGTTTGGTGCGGATTTTGGTCTGGCGGAATCATCGGTCCGTACTTCTTCCAAAACGAAGCAGGCGTTGCCAATAGCGAGCGCTACAGATCGATGATAAGCAATTTCTTGTGGCCTAAAATGGATGATATGGATACCGATAACATGTGGTTCCAGGATAGCGCTTCGTGCCACACACCGCATGCCACGATGGACATTCTGCACGAGCGATTTGAGGGCATGGTTATCTCGCGCGGCGGCGACGTGAACTGGCCACCGAGATCATGTGATTTAATGCCTTTAGAGCTATCTTCCTTTGGAGCTATCTTAAATCGCAGGTCTATACGAATAAACAATTGCTCTCAAAGTCAACATAACAAACGCCATCCAGCAAATTCAGTCAGATTTATGCGAGAAAGTCATCGAAAATTGGACCGCCCGAATACGTGTCACCAACGAAGTCACGCCGCGGCGGACATTTGAGCGACGTTATATTCTATACTTAATGCCATAAAATATTCTTTCAAATAAAAAAAAAATTGAGTGGATATCTCACACACAACTTGTTTTATTTACATTTAAAAATCGAGCGTCCTTATTGAAAGACCCTTTAGTACCGCAGTGCATTTTGGGGTGCACATGGGGTTTGCGGCGGCAGCGGCCCGAAACGTATTTTGGGGTGGACGCGAGATCTGCGGCGGCGGCCTGAAACACATTTTGGGGTGACGGCGGCGGCGACGGCGGCAGCGGCGGCGGTGGCGGCGGCGGCGGCGGCGATGGGATATGGGGTGACGGTTCCCAGTGATATGTGATGACACAACATGGCAGCATCATGTATCATTATAAACACCGATAGCGCCGGGGACTTCCCGCGCCTACTAGTACTCCCTGCGCCTTCCCTCCCCCCCACGCCTGCGAGTACCCCCGCGCCCCGCGCTCCCCTCTAGCCCTGTGGGTTAGAACTCTCCTTGTTATGCTCATGGTGATAAGAGAGAATCCTCCTTTCCTCCTCCTTTCCTCAACACCGTAATTTCCTTCACGATAAATTTCTTTCCAACGATAAATCCTTGCAGATCCACGAACGTTGGTATAGTCATGGTGAATGACTTTTCGAGACTATGCTCGAGTGTAAAAATCTTGGCTTTTTATCCATTATATTGAAAAGAGGGAAGAGGTTATTTTTCTTTTTGGTGGCGATAATTTATATAATCTATTAATAAAATTAAATCTTAAAATCTTTAATAAAATGAAATCTTAAAAGAGAGTGCAACGGAAGGAAGAAAGAGCGTGAATAATAAGATTGCAACGGGTGGGATAGAGAGAAATACATTCTACAATGGGTGGGAAAGAAAAGATAATAAGTTGGAGAGAGAGAGAAGGACCTCCTTCCTCGGTACGCGCTTTTCTCTCTCCCGTCATCCCCGCCCTGTGATATCATCCTCCGCGCCTCTAACGGGACTCTAACGTCTGTGAGCATTTCCCCCTCCCTGACTCCTCACACACACATGCACGCACTCACGCACGCACGCATGCACGCACGCACGTACACACGCACACACGCACACACGCGCACACACACATACACCCCACACACACACACACACACACACACACCCCGATCGCAAAAGTACTTCTTGCGCTCTTTTTTGTGAGCTCACAAGATGGGATAGATTCTTGATCCATGCAAAATGCTCCGCATTATTGTGGATCCTGCACGTAAAGCAAATTAACATGCTTGTCTCTCTTCATATTCGGTGAGTTGTAAAGGAAAAATCGTTTCTTTTTGCTTCTCAAAGCCGTACACGTTGATGGAGATGTCATAGAGAATCATCATTTTCAAATTTTTTAATTTGACGTCATTGGAAACTGGATATCTTTAAGATTTAATACCGTCATATAATGTGGATATGATAACTCTTGATTTATATTACTTTGAGCCAGGTAGAGCGGCTATCACCGACCAGGCAAAACACGCATTGTCTAAAGATTGCACGTTGATTACCGCTTTCTTCATTTTAATTTCCCTCGGTAATTCAATGTGGCATCCCGCATGCAATGGATTATACTTGTTTATGTTAACAGTCAAATTTAAGATACGCGACAGCGTCCATCCGCTATCGCGCTCCTGAAATTCCTCGAACGATGCTAAGATAGGCTCGATAATGCGCAACACGTACTATTCTTGTAAATCGGACGAATGAAAGAGTTCACAATTTTCATACTGACACTTTTATTCACACATTTATCACCTGATATAAATTCACCATTAAACACGATGTTTACTTTAATATTGTTATGTCTCTGCATAATAACTTGCACATGCTCAAGCACAATTTCTCTCGCGTCTTCAAGAAATTGGCGAGATTCGATGTGTTCAGAATTTATTATCACGCCGGTCAGTATATGGCTTTCGAACGCGATGTCTATTTCGTGCCATCTGAATCTCGCGTTGTATCCGGCATCCACTTGTATGAAATGTCCACCACCGAGTCTTTTAAAGTCTTGAGTCGTGCGATATCAACGATTGTCTAACACCGATCGCTAATCGCGGACGTTTAATGTTGCTTTGTTCCTCCAATGATTCGAAATCGTTGCACCGTTGTTCTCACGCAAAAAATTCTTTTCGCGTATTTAACTGACTGGCTTGTTCCACCAGATACGCTTCGTTTGCTCCATATTATAATATCCTTTTTTTCACAGTCTTTTCATTTAAAAAATTGAGAAAATGTATATTTTTATCTGTTTTTTGTATCTTTGACAAAACTTTCACAACTTGCTGTGTGCAAATACGACACATGTTATACGCATTATTTGCCACTCCAATGGATTAGTCACTTAGTTTTCACTACGGTCACCGCAGAAGGAACATCTGTGAAGGTATATACTTTAAAACGTTTATAATTGAAAGTTGTGAGTTTCCGTCACTTTGTGTGTAAAAAAAAATGGATAAACAATATTGTTCGTCAATGATACGAAATTATCACATGAAATTATCACGGAATCGAATGATTCAATGGAGAGGTCAATCCAAAAAATGTTATGGTACATCTGCGTGACATTACATGACACGCTACATCTATACCAGAGGATAAGGGAAGGCACGTTATCTAAATAATCTACTTTCTAGAAACGTATATAATCTGGAAGGAATTTCTTCGGCTTTCAAAAATCTATCAGATTTCGAAGGTCGTGAACAACGCTGCACGCATCACGGATTTTAAATCAACGTCGAATTATATTGCGCCTTACACAACGCTTATAAATTGGAACGTTGGCTAACTATACAAAATAGCAGCAATTCAAGTTACGATAGTCTTCCCTCTGAAAATTAGAGCGAGAGCAATGTCGAGCGAAAAAAACAGATAGCGGGAATTTTTAAATTCAATTTAAAAATCAGAAACACGATATCATTCGCAATATTGAAGTGGAGGAAAAATATTGACAGAAAAAATATTGACGAATCAGAGTTAGGACAAACAAGCGATAGACGAGGGGAAAAAATATCTTCCAAAATATAATATGATTCATCGATTAATAAAGATAAATCTAACGCTAGGGTCTCAGAAACGTCGAGCATTTTTGGGAGCTCCACATCGCACATGCCGGCAAAAAAGGTACATTTTGAATTTACATAAACATCAGGAGACGTAGTAGTTTCCGGCCATGTTAAAAAAAAAGTAAAAGACGATGATGATAGATGACTGCTATAATTTTCCGAAGATTGATATGATGATCTTTGTGTAGAAGGGTCAATATCATTGGAAATGAATTGTCTTTCGATCACTAAGAGATGATTATCTTGACTATATATATCATGGTCAGCGTCATCGGAATTCTCTATTTCATTTTTAATAACTTCTTAACGCAAGATAATGTTAGCTAGTGCTAACGCCTCTAATTCGGTTACCGAATAATTATATTCCGCGCCTTTCAAACTACGACTTGCATAAGCAATCATCCATTTGCATTCATCATCATCTTTATATTGAAATAGTCTAGCCTTTATTCCATTTATCGAAGCATCGTCAAATTTTAATCCTGACTGTATCAAATAGAGATCTGGAGCTTCTTCAAACGTCTGCTTTATCTCCACGAAAGTGTTTTGCTCTACTTGATCCAAATATATTTAACATTCTTTTTTAATATAATACTTTCTCTAACGTTAAATGCAAGATTTTTAACGAATCGTCTATCCCAATTTATTAAATCTAAGAAAGTATGCAATTGCCTTTTATTTTTCGGTGCGCAATTTTTTATAGCTAATCTAATCTCATTAATTTCTGCTTTGATTTCGTTAAAAATATGCCTTAAAAAGTTTAACACATTTTTCATAAATTCACATTCGTCTTTGTTTAATTTAAAATGTTCATTTAATTTTTTTAAGACAATTTCTATATGTTGCAAATATTCTTCAAGGATGTTCAATAATAATTCAGATTTCCTAATTATTTACTTTGATAATATCTGATGCCATCAAGACATTATCAAGGTAATTAAGAAATCAAAGTAATTAAGAAATCTGAATTATCGTTTTCCAAAGCTAATTTCATGCATCTAATAAGTGACGCACCCGCTGTCTTAATAAGGCCAAACGGTAATCTAAAACATAGCTCTGCCCATTAAACATGAAACCAACATATTGTCGCGATTCTTCGTCCAGTGGCATTTGTCAAAAAGCGTTTGAAACATCAAGAGTGGTGAAATACTTTTTACTACCGATTCTTCTAAATATATCCTCTATCATAGACGATTGATCATTCGCTGTTCGCTTATTAAGTTCCTTAGCGTCTGAATAAATACTAATTTTTCCATTCTTTTTAACTGCGACAACTAATGGATTTATATATTATGTCGCTTGCTTACTAATTATGCTTTCAGTTTTTAGCTCATTTAAATAGCTTGATATATAAATATAAATGTTTCTTCGGTATTGGATATGTTTTACAAGGAGAATTTGAAGTGATCTCAATGTGCTGCTAATGTGTAACACAGCTATATTGGTCATCGAAAAGCTGTTCATTCTCATAAATTAATCTGTTTAATCGTTCTTCTGCTTCTTCTACAGAAATTGTTGCTATTACTGGCTCTGTACCATTATTTTCAAACTGATAAATGATTCTAAGTAAATTCATCTCCGCAATTAAATTACATTTTATATTTAATAAGGAAACCTGTTTCCAAAATAATATCAAACAATAAAGTTAGCTTTTCTATTATGAAGAATTTCTGCGTATATTTTTTATTTTGAAAAGAATATGAAAGTCTGATCTTGTTATTGATCAATGATTTTCTTTTTTCATGGAAAGCTCCTCTTAACATAAACTTTCGTATTAGTATTACTTTCATACTCTTATCTATGCTTATTAATCTATCATATAGTAATTTAGTTATAGCTGTAATCCTGTATCAATTAATGCTTCCATTTTTTACGAATTACGAAAATTGGAAATTGACTGGTGTATCAACGCATTTACATTTTTTATCTTGTTCCGCGATCATTTCTTCATTTATGTCTCGCATTATTTCTTTTGTACAAATTATATTTATAGTATTATCAAGTGCATAAATTGATATACTTCTATTATAACGCTCTACTAAATCTGTATTATGTAAATCTTCATATAATCTAATGTGCCTTTCATAAATAGAATTACCATTTTTATGATTAACCAGTATACTCTTATCAAATCGAGTTTGTTCCTCTTTATTTTTGATTTCAATATTTAAATCTTTGTTTCGGTTTTTATTACGCTTATTCTTTACGCTCCTAAAAGTGACCTTACTCGAATGTAGGTTAGATTGAGAATTATGCGTCTTTTTAAACTTTTGGTTTCCGCATTTAATGTATCTTGTTGATTCGCGTTATAAAGAATTTTTTGTATATCTAGACTAATTTTGTTTTTTTTATTTTGATTAAATTCTGTTTTATTAATTATGTCCGCTTGTTTAGGATTTTTAATCTGTTTATCCCTAAGTTTATTTCCTTGTAATGAGAATTACAATTTTTAGAATAGAATTACAATTTTTATTTTTCTTAAAAGTATGTTCAGCATTCCGATTTTTACGTACTCTTTTTGCGGAATATTCTGCGTTTGAATGATTATTCGGATTGCGTAAATCTAAAACTCCCGAATGCTCTTTCGTTTCATTATTTTTAAGCTCTCTTAGTTGAAGTGAATTTTTAACGTTACTTACGAATTTACTATTTTTAGGATTGATTCTAGTGTTATCCTGATTTTCATTTAAATTTTCTTTGCCATTATTGTAATTATTATAACTATTAAGTTTTGCCTCTTGTAGCTTATTAGCATTAAATTGTAGTCTATGGTATTTAACTTTTTCCCATACCTAATATTAAAGCTCTTGTTAGAAATAAATTGCTTATAATTATTTTTGTTTTTATACGAGTTACTGCTAGCTAAATTACGTATTTGCTAAGGATTTGTTTGCTTCGGTTTTGCTCCTATTAGCATTTTTACGCAGTTCAGTTAGCAGTAAAAATAATGAACTGCTCTATTATATTTAACAATTTCGTTAAATCTTTTAGATTTGATACTATCGCTGGTTTAATTTCCCTAGCAACGTCTACACTAAAGTGTCGTTTCAAAGCATTAATAATCTCATTATCTGACATAGGCAGAATCAATAACTTAGCCTGTCTAACCAAATTTAAAACATATTCTGACTATTATTTTTAAATCATATCTATATTTTCTCATATAAACTTTTCTTCTAAATTGAGATTGCTCATTATCATCCCAGTATTTCTCTAAGAATGATATTTTAAGATCTTCATAATCAACGAAATCTTGTAATTCGTACCATGTCTGTGCTGAATCTTTCAAATACATAGCAAAATAATCAGTCAAAACAAACAAACAGTCTTTAATATCTACATTTTCATAGTTTGCTAATCTTTCGAATTTCTCTACGAATCTCACGAGATTTTGCGAATCATTCTTGTCTGTATAAGGTAAATTAACAAAAGAATTTTGTAATCAACTTCCTCTTGGCAAGCATATAGCTATCATATTAGACTTGTGATTCGCTATTATATTTCCAAATTCATTATGAGGTAAAGCTAATTGGTTATCTTCACTAGCAATTAAGTTATTATTATCGTTAACGAAAAGTTGAAGCGATCGTGTATCAATAGACTCAATTAAGCTATCTTGTTGACTAGTATCTGACAAATTTCTACTAGAAATAATTTGTGAACTTGATTTTATTTTGTGATCTACTTGCCTCTTCTAATTTATCCAAACGTGACATTATTTTAGTCATCATTTACAATATTTTAATTTTCATATCATTTATATCTGTATTTCGTTGAATCTCTATTTACAATATTATCATTATTGACTCTATTCATTACTTCAGATATATGTATATTTTCTTAACAACATTATGCATATTGGTATGTGTATTATTATTATTATCAATATCAAAATTCATCTTTATCATTAAGAACTTGGAAAGTCTTATTCGCACTTACGTTTGTTTTCTTATTTATAATATTCTTATCTGAACGTGTACGTACTGTGAATACTGTTATTAATTGCTCTGCTTTTGTTGACTTGAACGCTGTTAAATCTATGTTAGATTTGGATTTAGTACGTATTGTGGTCATTTTGCTTTAATTATTAAACGTATATCAAAACTTTATTTTTTTCACAATTAGCAATTAAATGCAAATATTATTTCTTATTCGTCAATGTAAACATACAAGTTACTTGATTTTACTTTTTCAGCTTATTGTAAATTCGGTTTTACATATGCTACTTTATATGACTCAAAATATTTCAAAGTTAATTTCATTAATATAGAAAAAAAATTTGTGCAGAGGTCTATTCGCGGCCAATTTTAATTTTACTGAGCCATAGCCAATTTTAATTTTATTGAACACTTTTCATTCACTCGACTTCAATTCACTACGCACTCACTGAATTTACAGTTACTTTATTTTAATTTATTTGTTCACGCGCTCGCTCACTCGTCACGAGGAATGTGCGTGTCGGAAGGGAACCAATTCTCAGGTTTCAGCTGACGATTGCCGTCCGATCGTCCGGTGGTGTTGTTGCTAAGCATAATCGTGGAACGAATGGAGAACGAATTTAATTCAATATTAATTGAAGCACTTTACTGTACGTTAGTGATTATATTGTCTATAATTTGCTTCTTTTATGCTTCAGGAATTTGGTTTCAAAGCTTTTACGGTGCTTTTACTCAATCGTAGAAAAGGTTTAGGTACCCTTTTGTTAGGTATTAGTATTGACTTGGACTTTAACACGTATTAAGTTAAACTTGCATTCAGAGATCAAACAAAATATAAAATTAAAGAATATAATCATTAAACATTATATATTCATACATTATACAATATTATTCTGCCTTTAATTCTCGTTCACACTGCTGTAAGCATGCAAATCATGTTAAACATATATAAATGTCACAAAATATATACTTTGTCATAACTTTCACTTAGATTTTCTTCAAATCGTTCAAGTTATTAATGTCTTTAGATTTTAAATCTCTTTTAATCAATTTGTATCACATAACCCTTTTACGTTACATATATACTTTCTGTATTTCTTATCTGAATACCATTCAACTTATCTTCCTTTTTATAAAATCTATATTCATTTAATCAATTAAATCTTTACTTTACGTAATATATCAAAAGTATAAGAACATATTAATATCTCATTGACCTCAAAGATTCCAACCACAAAACCTGCGATCATTCTACAAACTTCTAGCTTGATCGATTTTAATTAGTGCTTTCTCAACCTTTAAAACCTCGTTAAAACTATACGTAATCCTGTCACGGTCGTCAATTTTGTAAATTTGGGCTTTCGCAAATTTATGGAAAGAATGGTATTTCGATTCACCCGATGACTGTAGCCGTACATTAGAATAAAATGTTACCTGGTTTCAGTAATTATGTAATTATTTTGATCACTTTGTTTCACTTAACAACAAGGAAAGTGTATGCTTTTATAGGATTCTTTCAATTTAAGATCCTTCAGATATCCGTATAATTATAATTACGATCTTATTGACCAAGGCTATCGAATCTTCGTTATGAAACTTTCCCTCGAAGAGCGATTTAGGGGAAGAAGTTTCAGGAAGTATCTCTCGTAATTAAAAACGATATATGACTATTTATAAGTTATAAAGTCATTTACATTTGTATACATACAACATATATTACATGACTCACAAGACTTACAACCGTTTTGATCGAATGTTTCTAATCAGCACGAGGCTGTGCAGTATTACCGCGCTCGCGTACTCGTGGCCGGTGATTAATTAACAACTTCAAATTGTCGTTCACGACATTCAAGCACATTCGCGTGATTCTAATATAAATCACAATCATGTACGGAAGGTTTCTTAACCAAACACGGCTTGGCTGAATACCATCGTGGCACGCGGTAATGGCGTTGCAAGTGATTCAATCTTATACAATCACATAATATCGAGAATAACATATACAACGCGGCGAATTATGCTCTCGACTATTAATTTTCTTAATCACACACGTGTACTCGTCGATAATTATGATATCGAAACATAATGAACGCGAAAATGTTTCAATATGCGTCGGTTCAATATTTTTTATCGCAACGATACGTTCACGTCGATGACTGCTACCGAACTCCTCGTAATGGTTTCTTCTTCTTCGTTTGGAAATCCCAATGTTCCTCCGCACCTTCACTATGTCTCCGATTAGCTTCTTAGATTCGATTAGATTACGTGAGAGTTCGATCAATGAAAGCCATTTGATTCTATACTGGCAGCCATCTTAGCCACCACTCTCCAAACTGGTTGCCATCTTAGCCAGATCCTTGTAGAGCAGCGTCACCACGTAGATTGATTTGGCCTGCCTGCGATCTGGGATTAAGTGAAGTCATCTTGATGTAAGCCCTTCGTCTGATATGGAACCTATATCCAACAACTAGATCAGAATGTCGCAATAGATACCATATTTCTTTTGGTCCAGATTCGATCTGGTGAAAGTGGTTTTTAAACTGAGTTTCTCGGATGCCTCCTCCATCTGAATCTATCTGAAGTGAGTAAGTTATTTTTCATACAGTCTTGTCTGGAATTAATCTGGTGAAAGTGGGTTTTAAACTGGGTTTCCCAGATTGCACCTCCATCTGGGTCTATCTGAAGTGGGTAAGTTAATTTTCATCTGATCTGATCTGGAATTGATCTAGTCTAATCCGGATTTGAAATGAGAATATCGTATTTGGCGGGTTTTACTATATACATCTCGCTGAATCTCTATTAAATTAAGCAATTATTAATCTATAATAATCTATAATCATTTATTTCATTTTTTTCTGTAACTCTACGCTATATATAGCTATTAACCTATTTTATAGGAAGTAAATTATTATGCAAAAGTAAGTAAAAAGTAATTATTTTACAAGTTAGATAATAAGTAAGCTATTTTAAATGTTCTAATTCTAACGAATTAATAATAGCTTGTAAATTAATTAATTACGGAAATTTAATTCTATTTTACAGGCTATCGCTATGTATTAGGTGTACAACTTTGTTTCCGCCGTTTTTTTCCGAAATTCGAGGCTTTATTGTAAAAAACTGGTTATAGATTTATGATTCAAAGTATTGTCCATCGCTGGCCACTACTTTCTCTCATCTTTAGGGTAGCGTACGAAAAAACTGGTTATCTTTTGAGGCTATCCACGAATCGATCCAATTTTTTACTTCTTCATAAGATCGGAAGTGCTGGTCAGCCAGGCCGTGTACCATTGATCGAAACAAGTGATAGTCAGAGAGAGCAACGTTTGGAGAATACGGCGGGAGGGGTAGGACTTCCCATTTCAACGTTTCCAAGGTCTTGATCACTTTCGCAACATGGGGTCGAACATTGTCATGCTGCAAAATCACTTTATCGTGTCTCTCGTTGTATTGCGGCCATTTGTCTTTCAATGCTCGGCTCAAACGCATCATTGCGTTCGATATCGATCACCTGTGATTGTTTCAGTTGTTTTAACAGTTCATAATACACTACACCGAGCTGGTCCCACCAAATACAGAGCATGACCTTGGAGCCGTAAATATTCGGTTTGGCCATCTACGTGGAAGCATGGCTGGGAACTCCATGATTTTCTGCGCTTGGGATTATCGTAATGAACCCATTTTTCGTTCCCAGTCACAATGCGATGCAGAAATCCCTTCCGTCTTTGCCTTTCAAGCAGCTGTTCACAAGCAAATAAATGCCGTTCAACATCTCTCGGCTTCAATTCGTACGGCACCCAATTTCCTTGCTTCTGAATCATTCCCAGCTTTGAGGCGTTTTGAAATGGCTCGTTGAGTCACTCCCAATGATCGTGCCAATTCTTCTTGATTTTGACACGAGTCTTGCTCAAGTAATGCCTCCAATTCTGCATCTTTGAAAACCTTCTCTCTTCCACCGCTATGCCGGTCTTCGATGTTCAAAATCACCGTTCTTGAAGCTTTGAAATCACGACACGTTCTTTCAATAATAGCGGCCTCACCATAAGTATTTGAGAGCATTCGATGAGTCTCAGCCGCAGATTTCTTCATATTGAAGCAAAAAATTAAAACCTCCCGCAAATGACGAGAATTTGACTCGTAAACTGACATTTTTAATCGAGAATAACTTTATGATGCAGACACAAATCGACTAATGTTTCTATGGGGTTATGTTGACAAATGCCCAAGTTTATTGTATGACGTCTATGATCTATTTATTTCGACCATCACTTATCGCTAAAACCATCTACAAGAAAACGGCGGAAGCAAAGTTGTACATCTAATATTATATATGAAATAAACTTTATACAAAAGATAAGTATATTGAAAAATTATAATTCAACATTATTTATCTTGCTTCTAATAACTCTACTAATTAAATTTAAGATATAAT